ACACACACACACACACACACACACACACACACACACACACACACACACACGAATTTACATAAAGTAATTGATTCTGCTTTGTGCCTGTTTTATAATGCTTTTTTCCACAGACAATTCAAAGAGACCATAAACTAGTTGCAAGTTTTAGGTTGTTTCTGGAATTGAAGACTTGAGAATTAAGGAAATGAATTATTTTGTAGAAAAACTTCAATTCCAGGTCAACTTTACCATGCACAATGCAGATTTATCTAGGTTGAATATCTCAGGAAAGAAATCCTAGAGAGAAATTTGGGGTTTTTTCTTTCTTCACTATCAGACAAACCCCTGCTGTCCCTTCTATCAAGGACTGTTAGAGCTGAAGGCAGCGGAAATGCTCTTTTCTTACATTCTTGGGTCCTTTGCCACTCTTCCTAATTAAAGCTGGTAAAATTAAAAGAGGAAAACATAATCAAATGGGGGCAGTCAATAAAAAAGGATGGCTTAATTGTCAATAACTATTTATTTTGAAATCACAATAATTGATGATAGCAGATTTAGTGTAGCTTACTAATGACTTCCAATGGTTTCCTGACAGAGTGTTTGTGGTACTAAAAATACCTAATGCACATTATTGCGAGTGTGGAAGAGAAATTTGATTCCACACAATGATTATGTCTGTAGCTTTACTCATGAGAGCCCAAATTAGAAGCAACCCAAATGTCTTCCAATAGGAGAATGGGTAAATATTGACGCATTTGTATGGCATAATGCTTAACAATAGGAAAAAGACTAAGTATTGGTGTGTACACCAGCATGCCAGAAACTCAAAGCCATTGTGTTGTACGAAAGGAGGTAGGAATAAAAGAGTCTGTGCTGTGTGGTTCTATCTCTGTGAAATGTATTAACAGGCAAAATTAATAGTTGACGATAGAAAGCAGGTAAAGGTCACCTTAGAGGGATGCATTCATGAAACAGCACAAAGAGGCCTTGCTGGTGTTGAGTACTGTGTCTCGATCTTGGTGGTGGGTGTGGAAATAAGTAGGTTCTAAGTATGTGAAACATCTTAATTTGTACATGTACGATTAAGAGAATGTGTTCACCTTATAAATGTTAGCCTTCACTAAAAATACATTTTGATTCTTACTAAGCAATGTAGCCTTTCTAAGAGATTGACTTAATTTTTTTTTTAAAGTAAACTCGAACCGCAGGAGAATTTTAAGGGTGAAGCATAACCAACGGCTACATGCTAACTGATTTTGTAAGGTTTCTGTTTTGCATTGTTCTAATTGTTCTATTGAACTAGTCTGATGGCTGCTTCACGGGACTGAGGTTTCCTATGTATTCTACTTCCTACTAAAATTAGAGAAATGATGATACTTATATCTTAGGACAAATGTGTCTGATTTTAAGGGACAAGGGGCCATTTAACAATAACCTCTTTTCTTTCAGGTGGTCTGGGAACGTTCCATGCCTTTTTAAATACAGCTGTGCATGTAGTCATGTATTCCTACTATGGATTGTGTGCCATGGGACCAGCCTACCAGAAGTATTTATGGTGGAAAAAGCATTTGACATCTTTACAGCTTGTGAGTAACTGTTTTTTTTTTAAATATGAAACAAAACTGCAATCACATGTTTTCTCTGTGAGTTAGGAGTCTAGATGAGTCTGGAACCGTCTATGAAGAAATAGGATGTTTGTCTTCTGTGGGGTATGCGTCACTGTTTGCACTTGGTCAGAAGCTCTGTCGGCTGAAAATAAAGCAGATTTGGTAGCTCAGAGTCTCACATGATTAAGCTAGCATCTTCATTCTTATAATGGTCTCAGATGCATCTACAAAAACAATGTTTATAATCAAAATAATGTCAAAGTTATATGGCCGCAAATAAGAATAATACCAAGTATGAGGTAGAAATTCCAATATTCTGAATCAACATTGAAGGACTGTAATGTGGAAAGAAGGGTGGGCATTTCTGTGTGCTTACCTATTTAGTGCCAATGTTGGTCAGTTTGTCTTTCTTCTCATAAGTAAAGAGTGCTGTGAGGGTTACAGGTGTGAAGAGTAAGTCCTTGAGTTAAGATCAGATAATTCCTCAGAATTCATTCTAAAAAAAATATGGTACATAATTTCCTTAATAACTGAACGAAATGGCCTGTTTTAGTTGTATTACCCTCTATGCAAAGAATTCTGCCATCTTCCTATTTCCTGAGTTGAAGTATATTGTAAATTGGATGCCGTAATCTGCCAATGATACCAAAGGAGGAAGTAGAATTGAGGCCTAGCTAGCCTGCTGGTGACTTTCAAGTAAAATCCTACAACTTGCTAAGTGAAACTGGATACAGCCCTAAAAGGGGTTCTCAGGTGAGAGACTACTGCTTCAGTCTCCGAGGACCCCCAGTGAAGATCAGGGCAGTTCTGTCCAGTTAGCTATTGTATCTGAAATTGGCAACAGTCTCCACGGCCAACCAGGAGGAAGCAGTGAAATGAACACTTTGTTTCATACTTTTATTTTAGTCTTACTTCGGAATACTGTGAAGTTCTGGCAATTATTCTCCATGGCTGCCTCCCTTTAAAGTATTTTTCTCATTGTGCAGTAATATGTGATCATAATATGTGTGCATGTTCTTTGCACATATGTGTGGGATTAAAATACCCAATTAGAAAGACAGGGAGAAAAATAAACCGGGCAGGGATGTAGCTTAGTGGAGGAAAGTTTGCTTAGCTCCTACAAGCTGCTTAGTTATAAACCATATAAATGAAAAATAATAAATTAGTAAAATTCCATCTCCCTGTAGAAGTTGTCTTTGTTTTCATTCAACTTTTCCCCTTATGCATATATTTGCATTTATACCCTTTGCACAGATTTCATGTTTACTACATACCTAATCTTACACTAGTTTTTTTTTTTTTTTTCATCTAACAAATTTGGCCCATTTTAAATAAAGTGAGCCAAGGACACTTGTGCACACCTGCCGTCCCAGCCCTTGGGAGGTGGAGGAAGGAAAATCAGAAGTTCAAGGTCCTGCTCGGCTACATAACAAGATTGAAGCCAGCCTATACTACCCAAGACTTCGTTTCAGAAAACATAAACATTTCAATAAAGTGGGAGGGTTTGCACATAAATATGAAGGCTAGACATCCATTTGTCACTTGTCTGAAGCGTGCATGTGTGTGGAGGATTCTGCTTTCTTTTTTCCAAGGTTTCATTAGTCTCTTGCCAAGCGAAGGGAGTTACGCAAAGCTGATGGACAGGAAAGCCATGGACGTTTGTGAGGCTGCTTCAGTGAAGGCTGATGATAACAATAGAGCTATATCACAAGAAAGGATGTAAGAAAGTTAATCATGGTTAGCTAGCTCATAGGTACTATTTCTTTATAGAGGTTTACTTTTCTAAAACTCCCCCAGAACATAACTGACCTTTACTCAGGTATAAAAAGGTACCAAGTGGGAGGGGGAAGCAAGATGACTCACTGGGTAAGTGTGCTTTTCACCAAACCTGAAGACCTGGGTTTGCTCCCAGAGACCCACACAGTGGAAGGACAGAACTAACCTCTGGCCTTCACAGGCTTGCCATGGCTCATGTATGTAACCTAAGAATGGCTGAAAAACTCGTAAACCCAAGTGGGTTTTTTTTCATACCTAATTTTCTTTTCATTCTCCCATCTCCCAGGTCCAGTTTATCCTTGTCACCATCCACATAGGCCAGATCTTCTTCATGGAGGACTGCAATTACCAGTACCCAATTTTCCTGTACGTCATTATGAGTTACGGATGCATCTTCCTGCTACTGTTTCTCCACTTTTGGTACCGTGCTTACACCCAGGGTCAAAGATTGCCCAAAACTATAAAAAATGGAAACTGCAAAACAAAGCATCATTAAAAGACAAGCACAGCCTGGATTTACATTTGAGACTGATATCTTGCCTTCCTTGACAATCAAGAGATACTCACCTATGCAGTGCGTTTTGTATATTTTTCAAAACCAAGAGCTTGTATTTTTATAAGTTATTTGGGTTCCTGGTCTTTGAGAGTCCAAAGCTCCCAGATAAAGTCTTCTCAGTGGAAGAGACTAGAGCAGCCAGGAGGTTTCCTATTGCCTACCATACTAATCAAAAGATCTTAATACATTTTGCTACAGCGAGAGGAGGGTATGAAATAACATAGTACTCTTCTAGGAACTCCGGGATAGATGAAAAATACCTAGCGATTTTGACCATGGATGGAGATCCACAGAGTATGATCGATTCCTCCTGTCTGGTGTGGAGACTTCTGACTGGCTTCTGGCTCTGTCGTTCACTCCTGTATTCGGAAGACATTATATTCACTCCAGGGCTCAGTTCCCAATCTAAAGTGCTAACATGGGTGAAGCCTACGTGGCGTTTTGATAGGTTCTCCCTCTAAATCGTTAGTGGTAGTTTGAATGGGTCTTCTGAGCGGTCGCCACCAGTCCTGCCGTTGAGGTTTCCTCACAACACACGAATAAGCTGGAGGCAGTGGTGCTTTGGTTTCTACACTGATGCCTTTGACACTAAGGTGAAGGCAATGTTACGTTGCACACCAGATGATGTGTTTCCACAAGTTAAATGAACACTTTGCTGCTGCTGATTTTACAGTTAACTGTGCATGTCTGAAAGGAGCGGGGTATGTCAATGAAAAAAAAATGCTGTGGAATTCAGTGGGGAGAGTTATAATCCCTTGTAGTATAATGCCACTCTCTGATAGGTCGGTTTAAAAGGATTGTCTTGCCTAACTGTGTGTTAGACGTTTAAATGCTCATGTGATTAGCTAGCTTGGCTCAGATGCCTTTGGATCACAAATCAGTTTTCAAATATCTGCTATGCCAAGTGACTTATGAAGCAACTGGAGGTGGGTGGTGGAGTATCTGAGGTCAGATTTGGTTACATTAGCAAGGGCTGTTAGATTTGGGGAGACAAAGACTACGTTATGGTTATGTATTATACATATTTAGTGTTGTGGATGCACCGCATGAAGAAACATTTTCCAGAATCATGAATTAGCCAGGATTTCTTCTTCTTCAGACCTGTAAGCCATATTGTGAAGGGCTGAAATTCATGTGGCAAATGTTTTCTTTCCCCCTTTAAAAAAATACTAATTTCTAGAATTTTCTTGTTCTTGTTGGAAAACCTGGACCACCTAGCAATACTTGGACATTTGTGAAGCTGTCAATATTATTTCCTTTTCCTCTTTGAAGGACTATTTATGTGTGAATAACTTCAAAATCAGTACTGATGGCTTTGGTCATGTGTGCTGCATAGTGTTGCTCATTTGGCAACAAAGCCCAAGTCTTCATTGACTGTAAACTCTGAAGTTCTGCCTGCTCTCTCCTGATCCATTACCCAGCACCATGCCTTTGTCTCCACATTCACTTACTTTATAAAGTTATTTGCCATTAAGTGACCTTTAGTGATTCCATTTGCTTACGGTGAGAAGCAGAGGATAATAGGAAGATTTTCATACTAAAAAAACAAAAAACAAAAAACAAGTAACAGACAAGCCGAGCTGATAGCAACAGCTGTACTAGTCTGTCACTGTGAAGGTCTCAGGGATCCACGTTTTCCTATTTTGACTCTGTCGATGGGACAGTATGGTAGAAGTAGTTACCTACACAAGCAATTCCCAAAGACTCAAGTAGGACAAAGACCCAAAAGAACAGAAAAAAGAAAACAAGATGGGGAACTTTGATTGATTTCCTCTCTACTTATATTATCCCCCCCCCCCTTCTCCAAGTATGTAAAATGTCTGACATGCCTATGGACTAAGAGCAGCATTGTGGCATGACATACCACATCCTCAGTTCTATGAATGAAAGCTGGGAGGTGAAATGTCATATGAAAACAGATCACAATTGACAGACAGTCAGATGTGAACATGAGTAGATCAAAATGAATGTCACTGGTTGTAGAATTTATGTGGGCAGTGTTTGATCAAACAGAGCTTCTAATGGGGTTTCACCTACTTTTCAGGACTTTGTTGCCTTTAAACTTGCTTGCCTAATAAGCAAAAAGCTCAGCTATTAAGTATAGTTTATTATAAAAGTTCTATGAGTCCTTGAGGACCAATATATATGTTATAAATACAAATTTTTAAATGTGTATGGGGTGTTACAATTTTCTGTCTTCATACTTAAGGAAAATTCTAAATTGAGTATACTACCTTGTTTCATAGTTTGGGAAATTATGAGATTATATCTCTTGTTTATCCTTTATTTCTGTTAACTTTTTAATGACTGTAGAAGTTGTGAGAATTTGGTTTTGTTCTCTGTGCTATAATAAATTTGTGGCACCACGTGTATGTGTGTGTGTGTGTGTGTGTGTGTATGTTTCATTTTGGAATCTAGCTGCTCCTGTTTGCATGTGTAGGAGATTCCAAATCTGAGTAGTCACTAAGTCAAAGCACTTGGCACCTTCACTATATGCTTGCTATATTCAGAATACTGTACTGGACATGAGTGTTCAAAATGTTCATTGGGACCACCTATATCTTACCCCCCTGCAGATGAATGGACAGAGAGAAGAAGCACGGGACAGGTGCCACAGGAGGAAAAGGCCTGCCATTCACAATTACAAAAAATATTATTAAGGCATTTGAAGGCTAGTTTGTATTATGTAAGATGTATACAATTCAAAGTGGACAGTAGGTTAGTAGACCAGATGTCTGCAAATAACAAGGGGCTGGAGAGATGGCTCGGTGCTTAAGAGCACTGGCTGTTTTTGCAGAGGACCTGGTTTGGTTCATACTTGGCATCACACAACTGTCTGTAACTCTAGTTCCAAAGGATCCAACATTCTCTTCTGGCCTCCATAGGCACCAGACAAGTCCATTATGCTCATACACACATGCCAGCAAACACTTATACACATAAGAATAAATAAATAAGAAACTTAAAAGGAATTCCGTCATGCCTGACTGAAATAACAGTTTCTATGTAGTGATCGCCTGCATCTGTTGAAACAGTTGATGGGAGGTTGATGGGGAAGCTGGGAATGGTGACTGGGGCTGGTGCAGACTGAACCCAGAGATCATCTCAATGCCAATGAAAGTGAGAGGCTGAAGTGCTTATGTGTCTCTTAACATGCTATTGTACTATGAAATCTTCCTGCCCCAGGTTGTGTTTTGTAGTTGAACCTAAATGTCTGTTTCTAAATCAGCTACAATAATAGTAATTAATTAATAATAATAATAATACTGTGGATAGAGGAAGATGTTAGAAGACACTAGGCTGATTCCGTCAGCCAGATATAATGTGTTAAAGTATAGGGATTTCATAAGACAAGTGGCCCACCTTATTCACCAAGAATGACCTTTAAAGAAAGAAAGTCAAAAGAAAAAGAGGGTTAGGGACCCCAGTGGCAGAGGACCTGTGCAGCCTGCCCTGGCCTCCATCCCCAGTACCACCCAAAAGAAACGAAAATAGAGGCGTGCAAGGGAGTTCTAGTAAACTAAGAAAGACCTAAATTTTAACAATCCAGTATTCAATATAGATTTGAACAAACCAATTATAAAAGGATCTTTAAATAGCAGCTGTTTAACTGAATGTGGCATAGATATTAAATGATGTACGAAATGAATACTGAGTACAATCTCAGCCAGACTTTTGGAAAGTTCTTACTGTAAAGGTACGTGTACACACTGATGCATGTGTGTGTTGTGTTGGGTGTGATCGACAGTTGTCTGATTTTACTTTAAAATACCTTTAGAATAAGGAAGGCAAGTGTTAGCTGTTCCTCTAGGTCAGTGGTTCTCAACCTTCCCAAGGCTGCGACCCTATAATACAGTTCCTCATGTTGTGGTGACACCCCCCCCCACACACCCCGTAGCTAGAGTTTTCCTGCTTTGCCCACAGTCAGGACAAATCTCTCTCACCCACCAGTCCCACAGCCGCTCAGACCCAACCAAGTAAACACAGAGACTTATATTGCTTACAAACTGTATGGCTGTGGCAGGCTTCTTGCTAACTATTCTTATAGCTTAAATTAATCCATTTTCATAAATCTATACCTTGCCACATGGCTGGTGGCTTACCGGCGTCTTCACATGCTGCTGGTCATGGCGGCAGCTGGCAGTGTCTCTCCCTGCCTCAGCCTTCCACTTCCTAGAATTCTCCTCTCTCCTTGTCCCACCTACTTCCTGCCTGGCCACTGGCCAATCAGTGTTTTATTTATTGACCAATCAGAGCAATTTGACATACAGACCATCCCACAGCACCCCCCAACCATAAAACTCTTTTCCTTGCTACTTTATAACTGTAAATTCGCTACTGTTATGAATCATAATGTAAATATCTGATATGCAGGGTATCTGATATGGGAAGGGGGCTGTGACCCCCCAGGTTGAGAACCACTGATGTAGGTGGACAGTGCATATGTGGAAAAACAGCCAAACAGCCAAAGATAATGAACGGAGGTCTTAAAATCAGTAGATTTACACGTGTCTGAGTATTTATTGCTATTCACAAAAAAATCTTGGGCTGATAAGATAGCTCAGCGGGTAAAAGTGCTTGCTGCCAAGACTGAGGATGGATATGGATGGATGGATATATATATATATATATATATATATATATATATATATATATTCCCGAGCACTGGGATTACAAGCATGCAGCACCATGCCCGCTGTATGTGTGCATGGTAGGCAAACACTCTATCAACTGAGGCACATCTCTAGTCTCGAATAAACTTTAAACTGTTCTTTGTGGATCCTGATCTTAAGAGGTTTATACGGTGGGCAGGAAAAGAGGCCTACATAAAAATTAAGTAAAAACCAAGGCAGGCTACATGTTGCCAAGTTTAAAAAAACACAAAACAAAACAAAACAAAACAAAAAAACCAAAAAACTTTTTTTGAGACAGAGTTTCTACGGGTAGTTTTGGCGCTTGTCCTGGATGTCACTCTGTAGCCCAGGCTGGCCTCGAACTCACAGAGATCTGCCTGGCTCTGCCTCCCCGAGTGCTGGGATTAAAGGCCTATGCCACAGCCGCCAGGCACCAAGTCAAAATTTTGTATCCAATACACTAGAACCTTTTCCTAAGTTGACAGTTTTGTTACAGTAATGTTCCTATTGGGCTTGGTGGTGCATGCTTGTGATGCCAGCATTCGGGAGACAAGGGAAAAGACCACAAGTTTCCGGAGGACACAGCAACACTGTGTCAAAAGAGAGAAAAGGGGAAATGGGGAGACGAGGGGAAAGAGAGGAGAAGGTTCCTTGGGAACCCCTGAAGGCTCTGGTCAGAGAAATGACGTGATCAGCGCGGTTAGGAGAGGCCCTGGATAAAACTCTGCACAGGAAGCCTGAGGCTCCCTGACACCATTTAACTGCTTCCTTCAAAGGAAGCAGTTGGGAGTAACAGGAAGTGGTTATCATGTGCCGCTCCACAGCAGGATGCTATGAAACCAAGTGCTCGGCAGAGGACAAGCGCAGAGAAAGAACGTCCTTATCCGTGTCAGTGCTGGGGTCCAGACAAGACAGACTGTGAGTCTGTTCTCGAGTTAACCGGATTTTCCAGGAGTCCTGCACGGCAGCCTCCGCTGCCTCTCAGTGGTCAGGAGTCCCTCATGACTGTCCTTGGTTACCAGGGAAACTGGGAATCGTGGTTTTCTAGCTTGGTAAGCCATCTTCTCTGATAAGATTAGATTCTGTTAGTCAGAGGTAAGGAGGAAATTCTGCTCAGGCAGATGATGTAACCTTGCAGACTGGGAATCGCCATCATGAGAAGCCAAAGAATTTCATAATTGCAGCAAATTAACTGCTTGGCCAAACCTGATTTGGATACCCGGAGGCTAATTTCTGTCTGCTCATCCATGTTGGGTGAATAATCGCATATTTCAGGGCAGAAATCCAAATGTCATTATTTTTATTATTATTTTTTTTTTTTTTGGTTTTTCGAGACAGGGTTTCTCTGTGTAGCTTTGCGCCTTTCCTGGAGCTCACTTGGTAGCCCAGGCTGGCCTTGAACTCACAGAGATCCGCCTGGCTCTGCCTCCCGAGTGCTGGGATTAAAGGCGTGCGCCACCAACGCCCGGCCTCCAAATGTCATTATTGACTGATACCCAAACAAACCTCTCTTGTGAGCTTTTTTTTCTTCACATCTAACTCAGATTTATAAGCAAGGAGAGGAATTGTGGGGATTTCAGTGGTATCCCTATGAAGTGTGTAGCACACAGCTCTCTGGAACACCACTCACGAAATCTTGTTTTTGTTTTTTTATTTTCTCCAAATATTAAAAAAGAAAATGGGAAACTTTTGAATGAAAATATAGAAAACTCAAGAAGTAGAAAATGATTACCAGGAGCTGGTTTTACTTTCATTTTATCCCTTTCATTGTGTTTCTGGGAGCAACATGACTTGCAATATTGAGTCTAAAATAGTTTACTTGACCCTCGTGTTGAGAGGTTCAAAACCAGACTGGCCACCATCTAGCGCTAGTGCTGTTGCCAACGTTAACTACATGATATATGTACAGCATATTCCCATCAGAAACAACCTGCATCTTTTTTTTGAAGAAACATTTAGTTTATATTTTTTGTTATAAAATATTAAAAAGAGGGCTGGAGAGAGGGCTCAGAGGTTAAGAGCACCGACTGTTCTTCCAGAGGTCCTGAGTTCAATTCCCAGCACCCACATGGTGGCTTACAACCATCTGTAATGAGATCTGGCTCCCTCTTCTGTATACATAATAAATAAATAAATAAATAAATAAATAAATAAATAAATAAATAAATAAAACTTTAAAAAAAAAGAAATCAAACTAAAAAAAATATTAAAAAGAAAACCAAGTAAAAACAATCTCATTTTATAGTTGAAATAACATTTTCTGAATTTGTGTTAATCTAACCATTTTACGTCTTCACTTATTCATTTCTTTAAACATTTATTATTTTAAACATTTATTATTATTTAAAATAATTTTTACTACTGAGTGAGTTCCAGGACAGCCAGAGCAGTTCCACAGAGAAACCTTACCTCAGAAAAAAAATTTAATTTAAATATATTTTGGTCATATTCTTCCCTCACCCCAGTTCATCCAGACTCTTTCCTCCTCCCTACTCACCGAGCTTTAAGTTCTTTCTCAAAAAACAACCCATGAAACCAATGAAACCAAATCCTAGAAAACAAAATATGCCCCCAATTCCACCAAACTGTAACCAAACAAAAGCACACACAAACACACACACACATACATACACACACACACACACACACACCACCACCACCACCACCACCACCACCAACAACAACAACAAAAAGCAACTGTGGAGTCCATTACTTGTTGGTCAATTACTCCTGGAC